AGAAACTTCACCTTCCAAGTAACATTTAAACAACGCCCATTTTCCAAGCCGGGCTGCGGGCTGCCAAGCATCTGAAATCACAAATGCGCCGCTGAAACCCGGCCAAGCCGTCCCCTCGCTGCGCTCCCGCCCCTTCACAAAGCCCCCCGGGCTCCGCCGCAGCCACCAGCAGCGGCCGAAGGCAGACCACGGGAAAGGTGCTCAGGACACCGAGGGGTTCACCCGCCTCCGAGCTGCAGCCCGTGTCTCCTGGGGAAGGAAGAGAGAGAAAATCTTCCCTTGCTGCTGGGTTTTAGCAGCCAATATTGGCTAACTAAGCAGCTGTGCTGCTTAATTAGCATTAAAGGCATCTTTAGCAAAGGGCTAGAGGAAGCATTTATTAGATTAGGTCATAGTTTTGGAGTTGTTGGTTGTTGTTTTTTTTAACCAGAGATTGCACGGTGCAGGAAGGACGGTGTAATGCTGAACGACTTCAAGGCAGATGGAGGCAGCGCTGTATCCTCCCACGTAGGTGGTACCCAGCGAAGAGAGAAGGAACCGCAAGTTTTACTTTAAACACAGGCTTGCTGGTAAAGCCTCTGCTTACTCGCTTGTGGGGGTTTTTTTTGCAGAAGAAATACTTCTGAATTGGAGACGCAGAAATCCTTCCAGCCTGGTACTGAATTTTTTTAATGAAGTGAGCGTATAAGAAAACGAAAGACGTTTCTAAAGCCGCTTGAGGTTACTAACAGCAACTGCGTACTCAAACTGAAGGACTTCCTGCAGCGTGCAAGGCCGCACGGACCAGGATTACTGTTGTTTCACTGCTGACGCTGTAATTTAAAAATTCAAAGAATAGCTCAGAAATACAAAATCTTTCCCAGACCTGTAAGACCTATTCAGTACCAGATGTAATTAAAAAAAGTCCTAAGTACGCTTACAATTTGACACATCACATTTTTTGCTTGTAAGTACCCAAAACAGAATTGCATACCAAGAGAATATTGGGAGTATTTTACTGGAGACGGTCCAAAATGCAACCAACTTATTTTTTCAAATATAAAATATTAAAATAGTTTCAAGATTTAAAATGCTATGTATTTACAAAGTCCCATATTAATACTCTATACCTACTAAAGGATGGGTATGAACGAAAAAAAAAAACCTGAATGCTTTCAGTCAAAGGAAGATTGAAAAGCAACCACAATGGTATGTTTGCAACAGAGTATTTCTATAGCACTAGCAGAAATATATAGCCAAAAGAGATTCCATCCACACCTTTTGATCCAATGCATTCTGAGTAAATAGATACATATTTCAGCTCAGTAGCCTTAATTTTGCCTTCATGTATTTTCTATTTCTCTAGCATTTTATTTTTATACTCTGGTTTTTGTACCTAAATGTTTTCTTTTAAATAAATCCCTATCCCCTAGCTAATTTGGGGATGAATTCTAATTTTTTTTCCTAAAGCGATTACTGTTTTGCATATTGGCCTGGTAAGAACAGTATGTCACTTTGTGGTTAAACGCATACGAGTTTACACTTGAGGTTGACCACTGGTTTTCACGTCTAGTGCATAATTTTAATTCCTTTTTTTTTTTCCCCCCAGGTGGAATGTGGATCCTCACGTTTTCCAGGAGGATTGAGCGCACGGTGATAAAGCGTGCCCATCTTTTGCACTTTGTCCGTAAAACCAAGGGATCTGCAGCTCAGCCTGGCTCCTGCCCCGCAGCGTCCCGCACTGTGGGCAGCTGCCCCGGCGCTGCCGGAGCCCCACGCAAAGCTCCCAGCGAGCACAACTGCTCTCAGCTTGCGGGTGTTAATAGATGGGCGTCTCCAAAAATCAGGCTGGGAGTTCAGAGCAGAGCAGCTGATGTAATCTGAAGTGAGGCTGAAGCAGCGGAGGCCTCTCCAGGCATCCGTGTCATTCTCAGCTGGGTGATTGTTTCACAGTATACAACAGCCGAGGGCTCCAGCTGGCAGCCTCCCTCCAGGCTGCCGCACAGCTCCTCGCCACCCGCTGTGACCTCCCTGGAAACACTCAACAGCTGCCAGGGCAGAGGGTGAAGCCCAAAAATCAAACATTTTCTCAGCCGAGCACTCAGGCTTGGCGTGCTCCTGTCTCGGCATGACCTCTGCGAGGCCTTCCTGCGCCGGCATCCCGTCCCTGCTCTGGAAAAGCTGGACCGCCCCAAAATACCAACAGCGAGGAAGGACGTCTCCACGTGCCCCGCAAGGCACTCCGCCCACGCAAACGCGTAACTGAAGAGCTGAAAAGTCTTACTGACAGTCCACTGGCTGCATAAATCTCCCTGATTTGACTTTCTTCCTTTCCATCAAAAGCTGAACTGTCCAACCTGACAGCTGGCCGCTGATCTACGTTGCATGTGCTGCAGATGGCTCAGCCGTGGCACACAGCTCGAATGCAGCTGCTGGGTATTTTTTTTTTTCCCCCTCTCCTTGTGTTTCCAATGCTAGGAAGCAGCACGTGGCTATCTTTGGACAGCTCTTGAGTCGGAGTCTGGCCCTGCTGCTGTCTATCTCCGGGCTTTCTGCCCATGAAGGGGACACGGCACGTGCTGTGGAATAGCAGCAGCCGGGGAGCGGTGCAGCTGCCCTGCGGGTGCAGGGGGAGAACACCCCCCAGGTTTCACAGCTGGTGCAGTTATTATGTGATGAAGTGGTGCTAAGGGAGCCCCACAGTCCCGGGAAATCCTCCCGAGCCTTGAGCCGTGGTTACACGCGTGCGATAAAAAGCCTTCATCTAACGTTAGCCGAGTAAGTCTTGAGGCTCCCACAGAAAAGCAGGGCTGGTAGCATCCTCAAGCACTCAGCTAATCCATCTTCGTATCCCAAAGCACGATCAACACTCCCTCGCATTATAAACACTTAAGCAAAGCATTTCTGATCTGCTCTTAAAAGCCTCCAGTGATTAAGATATCTTAGTTGTCGGGCCGTGACCTCCAGTGCCTTACAATGGCTTTCTTGTTAAATCGTCCTCTGATGTCTACCCAGCTATACGTTCTGATGCCTTTCAAGACTACGACTTCTTTCCCCTTCCACAAGGGGACAGATCAGATTATGCTCTTGCTCTTTCCAGACTCTTGCCTTCTTCCGGTGGTTTTTTCTTTGGTAAGCAGTAGCTGTACCTGTAGCCACCCCTGCACTACGATGCCTGCCCTAGATTTCACATCGGTTACCTCCGAGGTAATTTCCCCTTAGCCAGTTTAGCCCACGCGTACAAAAGATGGCTTGTCCACTCGCTTTTGCCATCTGGATTTCTAGCCCAGAAGGAATTGAAGATAAATAGCCATGAAACTAAGGCAACTAACCCTTTCCTAACACCTCGATTTAAAAACCTGAAACTAAACAGCAGCTCCCTCCGGCGTATGAAAGATGAGGCCGAAGATTCCCACGAGCAGTGGCCCTCTGAACGCCCTTCGGTTCTTCCCCATCCCAGTGAAGGAAACGAGGTGAAGAAGGTCACAAGGCGAGGAGGCTGCGGCACTTCACCGACACCAGTGTCATTCTGAGCCTGCAGCTTCTTAGAAATCAGAGCTACGCCCGAAGCATAATCAGATACAGATCTCATGATCTTATCGCTTCAAGGGAGGACATGAAGCAATAGAATCTCTCTTCCTGCAGATCAGTGAAATCAATTTCTGCAGTGAAGTAACAGCTCCTGGGGACAGGCACACCACGCTAAATCATTACCATAATCTTTTGCAACTCTAATTGCAAACAGATGTAGCTGCCAGTTGTCACCGAGAGCACCGCTGCCATTTAGTCTGGAGGTTGCCCAGTACAAACGGGCCCTAGTCCATGCTTGATGCTCTTAGGGTGCTGCCACTATTTCTAGATTTTGATTTTTCCCCATCCGCAGGAGATTTTCAGATTTCCGGCTTTAGTACAAAACAACATTTAAAAGCTGGGGTGTTTAAGGCTGGTGTGGTGGTGGCATGGGAATAAGGGGAGGGGCTCTGGGGACCCTTTTGGAAGATGGCATTTGAGGTAGAATTGGAAAGGACGGTCTAACGTCAAAATGATCACATCCCACAGTGGTTCTGCAAAAATATTCGTGCGTTTTCAGACCTAGAAAGGTCTTACTATAAAGCTCTTTTTTGTTTTTAAAGCTATCGCTTCACTATCCATAAAGCTATTTATCTACTTCCATTTGCTTAGCTCTACTTATAACGTAAGGAGAAACAACAAGTAGCCAACAGTAGACCAGTATCCCTCAAAGCCTTGAACATGGGCAAACCGTAGAGGTTAGTGCCGTGGGCTTCCGTTTTCTCAGATGGCAACGAAACGACAGAAACTCAGGAGGCTGATGCCGCTACATCTCACCTCAGCTCTCACCTGTGTGAGCAGCACGATTTGCTCATCTGTGAGGCCAATACTATGACCCATGTGAAACAAGTTTCCACGAAGATAGACAGCCATCACACCCACAAGAAAATCCCCTCTGTGGGCTGTCTCGGATGCTGCAGGGCTTCAGAAGGCAACGGGAACTACTGTTCTGAGCCCTAGATCGCAATTTCCTTATCGTTCACTTTGACTAACACATCAAACCCCTGCTGAAGACATTAAGGAGAAAGGCAACTGTTCGCTTCCGTTTAAAGAAAATGCTCAAACTAAGCAGCAGGCACGAGTCTAGAACTCATCTTCACAAACTCGGTAAACATCAGATGTGCTATGAGGGGAAAAAAAAATTACGTGTCCCCAACCCTGAAATGACAAGAGAAAACAAAACAAGGGAGCAAAAGGCAATGATCTAGTAGATGTAAAGAGAGTCTGTCATCACCGTTCTTGCACCACCAAAGAAAGGACTCCAGGAAGAAGCACAGTCCAGAGCCTTGACAGGGAAAAAGAAGAAAACCAGACTCCCTGATCAGTTCAATTCTAAGTGGTAATGGTCAACCAAATCCTGACAGGGACCTCTCCTGGTGAAGGTGCCATCTGGAGGCCAGTTACAGGTGTGTATCACATATGGAAAAAGAACTGATAAAGGAAACCGTAAGTTTGGGGGTTATTTTATGAAAACTAGGTGATGTTTACAAATGCAAGGCTACATGAACCCCTAAAAATGAGCATGCCTGCTGGAAGGTCACAAGTGTGCCATCCAACAGCAAGAAGAGTAAGGCAGAAAGCTGCAGAAGTACAGTAAGAATTCCAAAAGGCTTTACTAGTGCAAATAAATAGACAACAGAAGGGAGATCATCTTCCATGGGCAGGCCGCTTCAGGTGAACCGGAGTTTGCTGGGCTCTGGCATCTCAAGAGTCAGCATATCGATCTCCTTTGAGAACTCTGCCTCCAAGGCATTCTAGCGGGAGAGAAAGCCAAGAGGAATCAGTGACCATGAAACAGTTTTCTTACATTCTTGTTAGACAAACATACCTACAATGATCAAACCGTGGGATATTATTAGCACCGATTAACCCAAGTATCGAACTGGAAGGTCTCACTACTGCAAACGGCAGCAGTCTCTGTCGACAGCTACAAAGGAATCTCCAAATGAAGGGCTAAACAAGCTCAGTTGCCTTTACGCTGTGCCCCAACGTGATATTACACACCTTCAAGCTGAACAGGTACGCTCCAGAGGCGAGTATTCTGACCTGATAAAAGCCTCAGGCTGGTAAGGTGAGCTTCTATTTCTGAATCAAAAACAAGTGGCTTGCCAACCTGAGCAGTCCCATCCGAAACTGTACAAAACACTCTCAAATAGCTGTGATTTTTGATCACAGCTTTAAGGCTTATCACTGAATACCTCGTGCTTTATCCATGAGCAAGCAGACAGTAGCCCAAAGAAATAAAGACAGGTTTTATGCTCAAATGTGGCCCGGCTCACTCAGGAAAGCTACATATGAACTTCCCAAACAGCTTTATATTAATGTTTCCCAACAACCACACCTGCAGATTACACAAGCGTGGATGAAATGGGCACGATGTTTTATAGGGGAAGGTCCCCGTTGCAGTCTACAAGGCAGCTGTTAAATAAAAGATGGGCCCTAGAGCCCTCTGAGAGCTCAGGAGCAGCAAGGAAGGTTGTGAGACCAATAAGCTGCAACACAGCTGAGTGAATAAACATTCTGACAGGTGAAGCAGACAAAATCCAGAGGGATCTGGATACCTAATCCCCACTGATACGATTATGCCCAACTGCCTTTGTAGCTTAGATACCATTCCTCCACCAGTTCCTCCTACCAATATGCACGGCTTCTGCCTTACCAGAGCAAAACTTCCCTCTGGAGATCATTAAGACTACAATCCGAGGTAGATAAATCCACAACCAATTAATACATACAGCTTGTTTTGGCATGACAGCAACTCATTTAAATCTCTGAAAGATAAAAAAACACTCTTACCAGTTCTCGTTTTACTTCTTCAATCTTCACTCGTGCAAGGGCAGGATTCTAATGAGGGAAAATGGCATAAAAATCAGTATTTCAGCTGGCTAACACAGAGTCCCTGCATCATTGCAAGAGTCTAATGATGTGCTGCAGGGGAATTCAGGGATAATGAAATCAGTTTTGTGTACACCCTTCACGTGTAAAAGGTACTGACATTAAAAGCCTAGTATCAGTTTGGTTTGGGCATCACATATTTTTCAAAAGTCTGGTATGGCCTAAAGTCTAAAAAAACCCCCCATTTTTAGCAATTTTCCAAACCTATCAACCAAGGAACTGGACTTTGAACACATCCGTGCATGAATTTTCCAAAGCACAATAAGCTTGCAAGGATAAACTTTCCTCCCCCCCTTCTGCCTGCACCAGATGCGAGGCATCGGGGCTCTCTCCCTGACAGCAAGAGGGGAGGGAGGGGGGAATTGGAGAACCTAATCCAATTTGAACGTCCTGTTTCGCTTGAGGAAAGGAGGCAGCTGCCTCTTGGAGTAAGATGGATTTAAAAGAGAAGCAGTCCCACCCTCTCCCTTCATCTTTTTCTTCTAGGAGGGAGACAGCAGTAGTTGTATGAGGGAGATGTGTTGAGAGGCAGGAACTCGATGGAGGGGCTAAGGAGGTGAAGAGAGGAGTGCGGCCCAGCAGACAGGCCCCTACCCTAGTTCATAATACAAGGGACGTGACGAATCGCAGAGTTTCTGTGCGATTTTGGACAAGTCTCATTCTTTCTCTGGACCTCTATGCCCCATTTGTAAGAACCGGAATAAATCTTTTTCACCTCTTACATGGAAAGGTCTGAGGTTAGCTCTGTTAAAGGCTGTGGGGTGCTCAGGGGAGGAGGTAACAGGGGCCACATCAGGTAACTCAAATACAACGCTGTAAACTAGACAGTCACAATTGTACTTCATAAAACCAAACCCCATTCAACTATTCGCTCCAGTTTTTGCTACTTCTCCCCCGAATGACAAAGAGAAAAGTCCTTAATACTTATCAGCAAAAGCAATGGCAATCTTCCAAAGGAGATTGGAAACACTTGGGTTTAGTGGTCCCAAATATCACAGGTGGGGGTGTACAGATGTCGCACAAAGCCAAGGCCGCCTGTTTCATGGACTAAAGCCCTGTTTACCCATGACTTCTTTAAGCCGCTATGAAGTTGTTCACAAAATTACCCTTCACTGAAACAGTCTTTTGTAACAAGCCTTCGAATTCGAAAAGAGTAAAATCCTTTTTATAAGAGATGCTTCACACGGCAGCCTGATAGTAACTCCTAGCACAGGGAGCAATAGTGACAATAGCCAAAATATAAAATGAAGAAAAGATACACAGGGGCTTTCAAAACTGCAATTTAGTCACCTAAATGAGAAACCTGCATTTTCAGAGAGCTGAATACCCAGCACCCTCAAGAGAAATCAAAGAAAATGATGGAGCAGCCAGTACTCACGCAAGCTAGAGTACCTGTTTAGGGGACAATGCCTACATTTGGCTATTTCTTCATAATCGTTAAAATCTTGCTCGGAGCTCCAACCTCTGCACAATGTGCTGCATCCACCGTATTGACAGCCTGATGACATCTATAGCTAATACATTGGTAAACCTCAAAAAATTTATTATACTAAGGAATTATATTTTCTTCCACATTTCTTTGTCCAATTTCTAGCTAATTCACCTTGATACTGAGCTCACCCAGCAAATCTGTGCATTTTGTTAGAACAAAGTTTGCCTGGTAAGCAAACTTAATTTCTTGGCTTTGATTAAACAGATAGCCTTCTGTTTAAGTAAAGTCTTCTGTTTACAGCATTAATAGACCTGTAGGGCATCTACCTGTCCACTGAAACCATCACAACAATATCCTTCACATTCTGAAGTCCATTAAAATTAATCTGATGGCAAATACAATAGAACAGGGGAAAAAAATAATTACAGGAGTTAAATCTAGGTAGGACTCCAGTTTCTTCTTCAAAGGCACAATTTCTTCCTGCAGTGCAGCCAGTTGCTGTGAACAAAGCAAAGCAGATTACATTCTTTAGTCTTACTTGTAGAAGTGAAATAAATCCGTGAAATAGATCCACAATTATCTACAGCATTTCAGAATTCATACATGTTGGTGGGAGCTTTCATGATCCTTCTTAAAATCCATGAAAAACTAAAGAGCTGCTATTCGTTATCCGTCAAACCCAGTTCAAATCTTTCACAGAGGTATCAATTAATTTTTCTTCGTTCTGAAGACATCTTCAGATACCTTTTCTTACAGTATAACCGCCTGATCTCACCTCCCTGAAAGGAGGGGGGATTTCAAATGAGAATCCACCAGAGGACTTTCACTGTCAACCTCGCCGTAGGCCAGAGAGAACTGCGCCCCAAGGAAGGGGATACATTCTCATGCCTATGGCTTCTGTGTGAAAACAGTTTTGCACATGCAGCAGCAAAAAGACTCCCCTTACACTTGCGCTGCCTTGCTTAGTCTGTTAATAAGGGGAAATAATGTCTCTTTGGGGCTGAAAATTGAGCACCCTCCACAGCCCTCAACTCTTTTCAAATAATCAACTTAAAGTAAAAAAAACGCACTCCGAAGATGAAATCATTTGCGCTGCCCAATTCACTGAGCTCTTGGCAGAGCAGATATAGAAACGTCAGGGCCTCAGACCTGCCCTTACGCTCAGGTTCTAGAAGATGACAAGTCTAGAAACTTGCCTGTGACTTTTTTGTATGTAGAATTCCAACACGAATGATTTTTGGTTAGTACTCTCCTGAAACACTGTGCAGTGTAAACATTGCCACCCAGTGCTGGTTCATGAGAATGACAACAGAAATCAGGAACCACATTTTCATCGTTCAACCTAACTAGCATGCAGGAAAAGCTAGCAAAAGAAATGGGGAGAAAGACAAAGTTCTCATTACAGTAACAGCAAATAATATTAAAGTGTGCTGAGTGCAGACAGAACACCACAAATAACATGTTACACGTGTACAAAAGCTTCAGCACAAAGCTGGGGAATCTAGCTAGTAACTCAAATGTGCTCTTTCCTTTAACAAATTATCCCGCTGGGCTTACAGTACAGCTGGAAAAAAGTTATATTTAAAGACACAAGAAAAAAGAAAAGCACACAGTGGTTCAGAATTTGGCTTTCACTTGACCTCCTCCCCTCGCTGTGAAGTGTTTGAAAGCCGGTTTCTTTCACACAAACTAGAAAGAATCACCTGGGTCATTCTATCAAGTACTTGCAATACACAGGTAGCCACGTAATGGGATATAGTCCACAGAACATCCACTCTACAACATGGATCACAGAGAGAGGAGGCAGATCACGGGCTGCCAATTCTCTTTCAGTGGCAGGGAACTTATTTCACAGAAATTCTCTAGTAGGCTACATTCCTAATTACAAAGGCAGAAAGAGAAGAGAGGGAAAAACAAAAGGCAACAAAAAAATAAAGATTCCAGTAGTTCCCCTCAATCAGTTCAGAAGGAAAGCTTCTTCCCGAGTCCAAACCAAGCCCACATCTAACCCTGAAGAAAAAGTACCACTGCAGCACCCCTAGATGCTTCTCAGTTTCTAGGAGAGACACCCATCCAACATACCCCAGTTCAGAGGTATCTGTCTACGGGATTTTTATTTGTGCTTCTTTTCACCGTTAACATTTGTTCCGGTAACCAAATGGCAAACTACATCTGAAACCACCCAACAAACAAGCCTGGTCTGTAGCACCGTAGAAACATCCATCTTGTACCAAAAGACCTACCTCAGACAGGCTCACGAGCGACTCGTGTGTCAGCGATTGGTTCAACCCCGTGGCAGCAAGCTGCTCCTACAAACAGGAAAGAGTTCGTTCATAACTGACGACAAAATATAACAGGGAGGGGAAAGATTTTACCATTTCCTTGGGTTTTGATCTAAACAGGCAAACAAGAACGCAGTTTGTCAACAACAGGAACGCGTGCTGTTTGAACCGCAGCTATAGCTGGTATATGAAATCAGTTGCTACTAAAATTTATATCAAGAATAACAAGTCTTTCCAGAAAACTACTGGGAGAAGAGCACATGGCAAGGCTGGGAAGAGGCTTCTCAGTAAAACGTCATCAACTCTAAGACAATGTTTTCCACCTCGTATTTGTCAAGGTATCGGACAGCATCCAAATGTTAAATAAAGCATTCACAAGTCCATCATGTAGGAAACGTGAAGGAGAAGACAGTACAACTTCTGCTTTCTGTGTTTAATCATTAATTAATTTCAAAAAATGGCTATATTCAGAGTTATGACATGCAATTTACCTCAGTGAACCAGCTGCCTTACTGGTAGCTGTGTGTATACTCTTATATGACAGTACCTCGCAGTAAGCACAAGGTGGTCCGAGCTAATACAGTTCTCGGTGAAAGAAGAGGAAGTGTCCTTGCATTTATCATAGGATGTCCCGGGGAGGGACCATGAATATAGCAGGAACAACTGACGTGCAGTAACACGTTGTCCTGTTAGCCCAAGAGTCCTCAGTCCTGGAGTTTAGGAAGCTCCTGGGATGTCTCCGTAACTACAATTTTGGGCCCGACTGACCATGACTGTGCCATCCTGTCACAACATCTTGTTAGAAAATTCCTTCCATCTACCTCAGCAGCCTTGATCCTGATTTTTAAATCCTCAGATTTATCTTTCAGGAACTTCAAGTTCTGGGATTGGCTGTCAGCTTTGGCCTTTTCTACTTCCAGACGTTCCTCTGTTTTTTTAAGATCCCTTTAAAAAAAAATACAAAAAGAAACCAGCTTTTACATTCAAAGAGATACCAGTATACAAATGCTGCTTAATTATTGTCCTGGTTTCAGCTGGGATAGAGTTAATTTTCCCCCAGTAGCTGGTACAGTGCTGTGTTTTGGATTTAGGATGAGAACAATGTTGATAACGCACCGATGTTTTAGTTGTTGCTGAGCAGTGCTTACACTAGTCAAGGACTTTTCAGCTTCCCGTGCTCTACCGACTGAGAAGGCTGGAGGTGCACAAGAAGCTGGGAGGGGGCACAGCCAGGACAGCTGACCCCAACTGGCCAAAGGGACATTCCATACCATGGGACGTCATGCTCAGTACATAAACTGGGGAAAGCTGGCCAGGGGGGCTGCTGCTCGGGGACTGGCTGGGCATCGGTCGGCGGGTGGTGAGCAATTGCATTGTGCATCACTTGCTTTGTATATTCTTTTATCATTATTATTATTACTATTTTACTTTAAACTGTTCTTATCTCAACCCACAAGTTTTCTCACTTTTACCCTTCCGATTCTCTCCCCCATCCCACTGGGGGCAGGGAGGAGAGTAAGCGAGCGGCTGGGTGGTGCTCGGTTGCCGACTGAGGTTAAACCACAACAATTACAAATGCTCAAGCTAAACCCTGTAATACAACCAACACGAGAAGGGAGAGAACGGAGAAAAACTTGCATTTCCCTGTGAGATTTCCCAGTGGAAACATCCACAGCTGTTACATCCAGAGTCCCAAAGGCCAGGGGGGGAAAAAAAAAAAGATACCAGGGCTGGTATCTTTGCTACAAGCAGCGCCGCAATTACTACTTTAAAAGACAAAAACCAGAAAATAATTAGACTGGAAGGGGGCTGTGGAGATCACCTGGGCCAATCGCCACTCAAGGCAGGGGTTGATCCTGCTATGCTTGGCAAAGCACTTCAGGTTACATCCTCCAGGGAGTGGACTTGATACTGATTTTTTTTTTCTTTTTTTAAGTCTCCTGCACACTGGTTAAAGGAAATTCTTACCTGCGAACGGATTTTGTTTTGCCTGGCTCCTTCACTCTTGACTACAGAGCCCATGCTAAACGTGGTAAGAAAAATCAGGTTTGCCTTCAACCTCAGACAAAGGCAACCAGTGGAAGATGCCAGCCCATATCTGAAAACTGCTTGTAGACCATTTTTGGTTTAAAATAATGGGTTTGATGGTAGCCCAAATCTCTTCTGATTGCTGAGCGTGTCCATAGCACATGGCTTTTGATAGATACTCCCAAACATTGTGAATTAGATGTGTCAAACCCCTGAAAATTCAGTTATCCTTACTAGTTATCACAACCAATGTTCCACATCGCAGGGATCAGCAGTATTGCTCACATCTTTCCCTTTTCTCATGCATTACTCACCCCTCTAACTGCTTTTCCAGCATCAGCGCTGCCGTTAGTTTTTTCCTAATGTTGGTCAATTCCAGTTCCATTTCTCTGTTTTCTGATTCTGTTGCATACAGCTCCGAAGTCATATCATTGATGGCACAGAAGAAGCTGGTGAAAAGAGAGCTTCAGTGGGAATGCTCAGGAGTCAGCTCTTCTGAAACTCAGAATTATTACTATTTTCTCCACGCTTTCCACAAATGACTTTTTTTTCCTTGTTCTCACATTATGATACATCAGATAACTGCCAGCTATTTTAGAGCAAGAAAGTAAAATAAGTCACTAAGGGTATTTGCTTCCCTTAACTAACACAGATTTCATCTGGAAGGGGAAGTGGCCCAGCAATCTCAGTAGGAGGAAGCGAACAAGACCTGGCACTCTAGTGAATATGACCGCTGGGTTTGACACGATCAGATGCTCTGCTCCTGGCTTGCCAAATTGCCTTTGAGAGAAACTGCATTCAGTCCCTGACAACACACATCCCTGAGACAGGCCCAGCAGTATATTTCAGTCTCTTCCCAAATGGTTCAAAGCTGCTTGCCCCTCCAGCTCAGGAGAAGCACTGTAAGAGCCAAGCTCCTGAACATCATACAAAAATTGGATTCCAAGGCAGATTTTGGCCCTTCCTTACTGCCAGCGCTCAGCACAAACCTGCTGTGTTATGGGTCAAAGCCAGGCGAGGGAGGGGGGCCCAGGAAGAGCAGACTAACAGCTGCCATTTCTCCGTGGCTGAGCTAAGGAAATCTCCTTACATTGAGGGCAGGTAAGAGAGGGAAGAAAGAGGAGCTGAGACAAAGACCAGTTACCGTTCCCCAGTCCTTGCCTAAGCAGTATGAAGCCTGCTCTAGGCTTGTGCTACCTGGCATGACAGTCTGAGCGGCAGCATCCTGCAGCCATTGACCACAAAAGCATGGGCAAAAGAGGGATTTAACTGTGGCCGAGGCACCTCTCAGGCTTCAGAGGCTTCCTTTGCTGGGATAAGCAAGAGTTTGAGCTTTGTGCTCAGTTCCCACGTCCTCCAAAGCTGCCCGAGGGCTGCAAAAGAAGCTGGACAAGTAAGATTTCTGGTGTGAAAGTCAAGTTTGAAACTGTTGAATTGAAAAACCAGAGGGGAAACAGCACAGACTATCACTCCAGATGCACACTGGGAATAATTACCTGGCAAGAGAAGTGTCCTTCGTTTCAAGTGTCATTGCGCTGTTTACCAGGACGTCGAGGTAGCTGGTGCCTTCGCTGGACAGACTGGACAGAGAAAGATCTAGGCTTTCTGCGAGAAGGCCCTGTAGATAGTTAGCTGGAAAACAAATACAACCCAAAATAGTAATTTTTTTATATTACTGTTCTTTTAAGGCCTAGATGGGACTCTCTCTTTTAATATGTGTGTTAAAAATGTATTATCGTCCCCTAAACCACTCACTTGCTCCAAAAACACTACGTTATCAAACACTCACTCTGGACAGCTCCAGCATAACTTAATCACCTCACTGTTGTTTCAGATTCCTCAGGCGCTTTCCTTAACAGTGGATTAGCACCAGCTCAGACTCTTAAATCAGCTGTAGGGTTGCTGTCTATCCAGCCAATATTTCAATGTTATGCTACTCAGTCCAGCAGGCTAGGAGGTTTTAGCAATTAATCTGCTTGTCCGTATTTACAGCCTGCTCAAGATGGCTTAAAAAATTGCTCTTGACCAATCTTATGTCACCGTAAATTTTGCTGAAAGGAAGGCATGGGATGCATTGTAGTAAAAGCTGTACCAGAACAAAAGCTGAGTTCATTCCAATTATATATATATTCATTTATTTATTTACATATAGATATATATTTATTTATTTGTTTGTAAGATTTTAGCAAAGACAATTTTTGGGGTCACTAAGAAAAACTAACTTTGATGGAACTGAGAACTGGAGCGGCAAACTCACCTTCTGCTTCATATTCTGCTGCCTTCTGCTTCATGTCCTCTATCAGCAAAGAAACATCCCTGTCTCTGGCTTCATTGCATTCTACAAGCTCATACAAGATATCAACTGTCCTTGCATTCACTTCGTACTGTGGGATAGGCTGATTCCCATATATTTTCTTTAGCCATAAAGTAACCTGCCAGAGAAGGGAAAAAAAGAGTAAACAGTCAAGTGAAACGACAGAAAATAGCTGACAGATGTGAGAAATGTGAAGTGCTGCAAGGTCTGCGTTCCTGAGGAATAACTCCTACTACAGCAGTCGAGGCGTGGGTGGAAAAAGGGGAGACAACTTCCTTTGTCTCTTCTTCAAACACCCTCTGTAGTTTAGAAAACCATTTCCCTTTTAATCTCCCTCATTTCACTGGACACCTGCTTATCTCCAGGTGATAAAATTTATCTTTTTATTCACGTGAATTTTTGCTACAGGCACGCTAATGATCCAACAGATGTTAAATGGGTATTTGGGCAGCTGGTAAAAACTGCATCGAAGCAGCGTGGGATAAAACTGCCCAGACCATTATTGTTGGGAACAGTCTCTACGGGCGAACAGGGGAGAAAGAGTTACTACAATGCGCAGGCATAAGCCCTGCAGAGCGTGATTTCTACCACTGAAAAGAAGGTCAGAAATGGGAGAGAGACCAACACAGCGCTCTCACAGATTAGATTACGACTGGTAGTAATTGAACACATGGAAGTTCAACACTGAGGAGACAGAAATTCTTGTCTAAGGCTATCTGAGCAACCTGATGATGGAAAAGGACCCAGCCTTGTAACTTTAAAAGACATTTCTTTCCAGCGCGTCCCTCTTTATGCTTCTACCATACCAGCATCTCAGCTACATACACTGCATACAGCAAAAATCACCCTGAGCTATGCTGGGGAGAAAACCATCAAGCCCTTAGAAGCAAACAGCACTAGCTACATGTAGAAGAAAACTCTAATACTGCAAAAATGCCAGGTTCACGATCGAAGGATGAATTGCATCTTTCTGCCGCTTTCTGTAGGGACAATGATTTGAAATGCAAAAACTTCAGGCACCCAAGATCTTCATAACCTGGCATTTTAAACCAGCTGCGGGTTTAAGGCTCAGTGAGCTCGGGCTGTTACCTAGTAGGTAGCAGAGGACGAAGTGGGTGAACACAGACTCTGCTGCCGCGAAACCCACCCAGCGACCGCGTCTCGCCCGTCCCCCAACGTTTGAAGGGGCAAGAAAACGACACGGGCTCGTTTCTCCTCCCGAACCGCCCGCGTCTGAGCGCCAGCCAGGCAGAGCGACGACCGCCAAGGGCCCAGCAAAACCCTCAGCGCGACCGCTCGGGTGCCTCGCCTTTAAGGCCTGAAAGAGACGCTCTCGGGAGAGCGGGACGAGGGCTCCGATAACGCACCGGGGCCGGCTCCGCGCACGGTACCTCCCCCGGCGCCCGCAGCCCGCCCTGGGGGACACGGCACCCG